GGGATAGAAATCCACTATCACAAATGATAAGAAAAATACCCGTTCGATTTTAAAAATCAATCTCAACTTATCAAGACAATCTGCAAATGGAAGGATACATAAGAATTTTAAACCAAGTTTCTATAATGTTCAAAGCAAGACAATTTTACCCCTTAAGCCCAATACCGATCAATAAAAAGTTTGAGAATTCTGAAATCAAGATCCTTGGCTAATTTTGTCAAAGATGATCTTGCAATGGGAATGATCTCTATACTTAGTGTAATTTTAAGACTGCATTGCTAAGGGACTAGCAATGGTTAAGTTGGGGGGTGTGATAACTTTGTAGTTTGATGCCTTAAGGGCATCATTTCAGGGGTATTTTAGGCCTTAGAATAATCAAAATGTCCATTTTCCTTGTTAATTTCAATATTGTGACCTTTGAGGGTCTCTATGCAAAACTTGTGGAAAACCGGAGAAGTTTCATGGCTGAAATGTAGTTTTTGGGAAGCTAGTGTAAAGGCCAGCTAAAAGAGGGGGTTTTTTGTAAAAAACTTAGCACAGGAGGGTGCCTCCTATCCGATAAACCCAAAATGACACCCCTCCTACTATATTAGCATACTCCCCTCTCCTTAGCAAACCCTAAGGTGCCTTTTCACTCCTTTTCATCCTTACCAAACCCTAGCCGCCCCTAGCTACTTAATCTCCACCTTCCATCTCTTCTAATCTCCACCATTCATTCTAGGGCACTATCTTTTTAGCTTTCTAACCCTAGGGCGCCACCTTACTTATAATCCTCACCATTCAGCCTTTAGCCACAAGATCTCAGCCCTCCATTCCATTCTCTATCTCATCCATCCACTCTAGGGCACCACCCACTCCTTGTAATCTCCACCTTTCAGCCCTAGGCGCCTAAATCTCCACCATCCAATTCTGGGCACCCAAATCTCAGCACTACATAATATTGGGTGCCCCCTCCTTCTCTTCTCAGCCTTAGAATCTCCATAGGACAATCTGACCCTCCATTTTAAACCCTAGGGCGCCCATATTTCTACTAAAACCTAGCTTCTGCCTCCCTCTTCCTCTCTAATCCTAGTTTTATCCACCCTTCACTATAAAAAGGATCCAAGGGGCCCTGAGAAAGGGTTGGATTAAACCCTAGGTAAGATGAAAGGTTAATCTTGAGAAGTTTAAGGGTAGAGGAAGAGGAGAACGCCCAATCAAAAAAATGGGTTCCTTCTTGTAGTTCTCCAAAGCCACTACTGCCACCTCTGGAATCGAATCCCAACCATTTTAATTCAGTTTTAGATTTAACTTTATTCCTTAATTTCCAGTCTGATTTTCTTCCTTCCTACAAATTTACTTTTATTCAGTTTAATTTTTGCTTTGTTTCTTTCCTACAGATCTGGAATTTGGTCAGGTAAGACGGAAGGCCTAACTCGAGAAGTTCGAGGGTCAAAGGAGAGATCTGGAGATTGCTACCTCTGATCGGATTATAGACTTTTTTATTTAATTTCTTTTATTTATTTTTTGTTACTTATTTACTTTTATGCATTTTTCACTTTCAACAGTGTTCGAATTTTTTTTAATGAATTTCAATTTAATTAATTAAAATTTCGTGGCTCTGCAACTTCCCTTTGTGTTCTTTTATCTGGATTAAAGTTTATAAAGATTTTTCCCTCGCTTCCCTGTGGATACGGCCCGTTCTCACCATTTACTGCGTTTGTAACTGTTATGAGAAATAAAAAAGAAATTATAAATATTAAAACTGGTGTTCCAAAGTGGTTAACAACTCACTTCCGTACACACCAATGAGCACAACTTCTGATCTAATTTTTCTAGCAAAAATCAGAATCAAGATCGAATCTTGTGTTAGACAGTTTTGTATGCCCTTAGCTTCAATCAGAATGATGTACTTTATGAATTTATTGTAAATGAATAAAGACATATTTGATTCATGTTCCCTTGGTATGTTTCTGTGTAATACCCTTAAACTGGACACTTAATGAGACTCGTGTTAGTTTAGAATGTTCACAGC